TTAGATGTGTTTTGCGACCCTTTTGGTGCCAGACTAAAAAAAAATCTTGAGAGCCTTACAAATCCAGTCGCGGCAAAACCATTAATAGGTACGAAAGTAGCGTCGAAATGTACATTTCAGCATGCTTCTTTGGAGGAATCCGAATTCATCAACGATTATCTTGAAAAAAAAGACGAACACGTAAATGATATCTACACCACTTTTAAACCCAATCCTACTGCAGACCGCAGTAGGGATCGAAACTGGAATCGCGACAAGGAACGGGAAAGAGATCGCCATTTTAAGGACCGCAGTCGACACTCGCCAGAGCGAAGTTATGACCGTGATCGTGGAATGCGAGAAAACGTTGGCACTTCAGTAAGAAGTCATCGTAGTTTTTATGGACGCCGTTCTAAAGATATATCCCCAGAAGATTCTCGGGATGTATTGATCACGACAAGAGAAAGAGCTAGAGATTCGGATTCACGGCCTCGCGATTATTGTCGTTCTAGGGAGCGAGAGTCGTTTCGAGATCGTAAAAGATCTCGCGACAAAAGCCGAGATCACCCCAGGGAAAAAAGAGAACATCGTTATAACTTATCTAAGGATCGAGAATATCGCCGAAGAGATCGCGACCGATCTGTTGAAATCGATCGAAGGGATCGCGGAAGTCTTAAGTATTGTAACCGCTATTCATTGCATGAATATATTGAATCTGACGTTAGACGCTCGTCGAATACAATAAGTAGTTACTATTCCGGATCTAGTTTGCCTAGCGCGAGCCATAGCTTCAATAGCTGTTCTCACCCTTCAATCGAAAATATTCAGACATGGTCAGATCATAGAGGTTGGACCGCACCTCAGCCTGATTTTCAGCCTGTACAACCTCCCCCGCCGCCACCAGAAGAGATTGAAAACTGGGATGAAGAGGAACAACATAAAAATAGTATTGCGTCAACTACGCATTATGGCAGCGCTAAACTTCAACCGCAAGTGCCGTCAAACGTGAATTACATGACTAAATTAAAGTCAGTTACACAATCGAATTCCGATCCAGGGAACGTAGATTTAGATACTCGAATAGCATTAATATTTAAAGGAAAAACGTTTGGAAATGCACCACCTTTTCTTCAAATGGATAGTAGCGATTCAGAAACAGATAAAGGCAAACCTGATGTTTTTTCGGATGTTAATTCCGATTCAAACAACTCAGAACACAAAAAAAAGTCATGTGACAAAAATATTAAAGTTCTACATCAGCCAAATGAAGCAAGTGATATATCAAGTGATGAAGAAATAATAGGTAAAAAGGACAAGTCGAAACTCAGTTTAAGTGAAAAAGAATTAAATGATGACAATATGTCTTTATCGAGCTTATCCTCCCATGAGGATCCTATCCAGACTAAGGAAGGTGCAGAGTATAAGAAACCTATTATGCCATCTTACATGTATACCCATTCAAATCAAAATCCTTTTTATTACCATGCAACTGGCTATGGACACTATCTTTCCGGTATCCCGTCGGAATCTACAAGTCGTTTTTTTTCAAATGGCGCCTACATTCAGTCTGATTATTTAAAAGCCGTTGCTTCATTTAATTTTGATTCGTTTTCTAAGCCATACGATTACCATAAAAGTGCTCTATCAGATCAGAATGATGGGATACGCCAAAAAGTAAAAAAAGTAATTGGCTATATTGTCGAGGAGCTAAAACAGATTTTAAAAAGAGATGTTAATAAGCGCATGATTGAGATAACTGCATTTAAAAATTTTGAAAACTGGTGGGACGAACATACATTAAAAGCTCGTTCAAAGCCGCTATCCGAAATAGCAGACTCCGCAGTCACTACACCCTTAAATTTGATTAAAGATACTTCCTATAATGAAAAGAATGCTGATATTAATCTTCTTAATAATTCCCAAAGAGAAGTCGCAGATTTTCAATCCTTCTCCAGTATAGGCTTACGGGCGGCAATGCCCAAGCTGCCATCATTTCGGCGTATAAGAAAACATCCTAGCCCTATACCTACCAAAGGAAATTTTTTGGAAAGAGATTTAAGTGACCAAGAGGAAATGGTGCAACGTTCTGACTCTGAAAAGGAGGATTCTAATGTGGGAATCTCCGAAACTTCACGTTCAAACATTAAGGGACCAGACACTATTCAAGAATCAGACACTAAATCGCGAACATCTGATCTAAATTCAAAAAGAAAGGGCAGTGCTTCAAGTTTTTTTTCATCTTCGTCTTCTTCCGCTTCTAGTGAAGCTGAGTATGAAGCCACCGATTGTATAGAAAAGGTAAGGACTAGTGAGGAAGATAGTCCTGAAGGATATGGCCAAAGAAATCTGAATCAACGAAAAAAAACGATTAGAAACAGAAACTGTACAAGGGATAAAATTAGAAATGTGAAAATTTTTTATTCCGGCTCCGATGAAAACAAGAAAGAGAACGTAACAAGGCGCACAAAAAAAAATAATATTTATTCCGATTCAGATGAAGATAATGATAGAACGTTGTTTCCCACTTTACAAGAAAAAAATATTTCAACTATTCTATCTGATCTCGAAGAAATAAGTAAAGATAGTTGCTTCGGATTGGACGAAAACACGATTGAGCCCACATTTTTATCAAACACTCCAAAAATAAATGAAGAATGTAGGCGTTCTCTTACCCCTGTTCCACCACCGGGGTACAATGAAGAAGAAATTAAAAAAATCGATGAATGTAAACAGAAGTCAGTATTTGAATATGATAGAATTTACAGCGACTCCGAGGAAGAGAAAGAATATCAGGAAAGGAGGAGAAGAAATACTGAGTACATGGCCCAAATTGAACGAGAATTTTTAGAGGAACAAGAGAAGAGAATTGAAAAGTCTTTGGATAAAAGCCTACAGTCCCCAAATACCATAATAAAAAGCAGAAGGTCTTCAAGAAATAAAAATGACGAAAGTCCATGTAAAGTTGACACTACTCCAGTCAATGTAATAAATACTGAAAAAGATCTAAACGAATTTGGCGATCATGAAGAGTGTGATGTTGTCCCAAACGGTTGTAACAAAATGTATTCCAATTCAAAACGTAAAACCAAAGGAACTCAATCGCCAGTTTATTCTGACGGCAGTTCCAGTCAAGCGTCGCAGGCGAGTCAGGTTGCGCTAGAGCATTGTTATTCGTTGCCGCCCCATGCACAATCAGTTTCCTTGTGCGATTTTCCATCTGGTCAGTTAAATGAGACTAAAAACATTTTAAAACGAAAACCAGAGAACATTGCAATTGTTAACCAAATGACGAGGACAGGTCCAGGTAGACCTCGCAAGGATCCAAGTCGTACTCAAAAGAAAAAGAAAGATTCGGTCCCCAGGATGTCAAATGTAAAGAGTAAAATGGCACCAAACAGAGATGCGTTGGCCGAATTGGCACGAAGAACTGCAAATTTTGTTCCGTGTGATATGTATAAAACTCGTGATCAGAATGAAGAAATGGTTATTTTGTACACTTTTTTGACGAAAGGCATTGATGCAGAAGATATCAACTTTATAAAAATGAGTTACTTAGACCATTTGCATAAGGAGCCGTATGCGTGAGTATAATTAGTTTTTATATATTTTTATTTTATTGGCATTTGTTTTCCAGTATGTTTTTAAATAATACTCACTGGGTGGATCACTGCACAACTGACCGAGCTTTTTGGCCACCACCACCAAAAAAACGAAGAAAAGATGATGAACTGATGCGCCATAAGACTGGGTGTGCGCGAACTGAAGGATTTTACAAATTAGATGTTCGAGAAAAGGCTAAGCACAAGTACCATCATGCTAAAGCCAATACAGAAGATTCCATTAATGAAGATCGGAGCGATGAACCTACAGCACTTACAAACCACCATCACAATAAATTAATTTCCAAAATGCAAGGAATTTCCCGCGAAGCTCGGTCAAACCAACGAAGGCTCTTGACAGCCTTTGGTTCTATGGGTGAATCTGAGCTCTTAAAATTTAATCAGCTGAAGTTTCGAAAGAAACAGCTTAAATTTGCAAAATCTGCGATACATGATTGGGGATTATTCGCAATGGAGCCCATAGCTGCAGATGAAATGGTTATTGAATACGTTGGTCAGATGATTCGACCTGTAGTTGCGGATTTAAGAGAAACAAAGTACGAAGCGATTGGAATTGGTAGTTCATATTTGTTCCGAATCGACATGGAAACTATAATCGATGCAACTAAATGTGGAAACTTAGCTCGATTTATAAATCACAGTTGCAATGTAAGTATAGCTGGCTTTTCTGACATGTATTATCAACATACAATTTTGTTTTTCAGCCGAATTGCTACGCTAAGGTTATAACTATTGAATCTGAAAAGAAGATAGTTATATATTCAAAGCAACCCATTGGTATCAACGAGGAAATAACGTACGACTATAAATTTCCATTGGAAGAAGAAAAAATACCGTGCCTATGCGGCGCCCAAGGATGTCGAGGCACACTTAACTAATACTTATTTACAACTATGAATGAAATATTTTAGAGCACTTACATACATTTAATTTGTTTATAAAATCCAAAGTGGGGTATATGTAAGTATATATAGTGTTTTTAAAGCTTACTGAATAGTTTTGTTCAACTAAAACAATTAATTTTAATTTAACCTAAATCATTGCTTCAATAAATATAACAAAGTCGCAAGATATTACATTATTGCAGCAAAATAAAAATGTGAAGTTCTTGTTATATCCATTAAAACAAGCTAAGCCTAATTATAGCTATCTGAAACCGCGTATATTTAAATAGAAGAATGTAGTGTACACGAAGAAAGATTTTCTGACGACCCCCAACATGACGGCGCGAAAGACTCATTTAAATCAACGAGGTCAGAGGTGCTGTTCAAAATGGTTTAGGAATTAAGTGAAATATAGATTTTTTAAACTTTTCTTATAAAAGTAATATGTATATAATTTAAACTGTACATACATAACAAAAATGCAATAAACTCATTATCTATAAATTTTAAAAAATAATTATTCCTTTATATAAAAAATTGGTTTGCTGCTATTGCAAATCATGTTTAAGTGTTATTTGCATATCTAATTGAGCCTGAGCAATGCTTTCCAAAGCATACTGCATTTTTTCTAGCAAAAGTTCGCCTTTTTGCACTACTTCCTCAAGGTCTCTTGCAGTTTGTTGGTTTTCAATCTCGAGTCTCTTGAGACTGGAATTTTGAAGTTCAATAGAGCTGTCTTCATTTGGAAGAGACTCAATTAAAGTGTCGATGTCTTTAGCACATCGTGCAATTAACTGTGCAAATAGTTGGGCATAGTCTTCTTGCGGCTGACACGAGTTTGGCGTTTGGGGTCCGATACGTTCAAAATTAACAAATTTACTCGGAAAAGATGTTTGTTGAATTACACCAATGGCATTGCAGAAGTTTTCTGCTTGCTGCAATGATTATTTTTTTTACTTAATTGCAGGTATTTTTTAATGCGAAGTATTACCTGATTAACGGTGTCTTGCAATTGTGTAAGCCGGTCAGCCATGTTAGTATCCAATTAACAATTCTGGGAATACATAAAAGAAAAGTCAAAGATAAGGAATCACATTAAATTCTTGTTTACCCGATGAAAGTGATAGACGAATTTTAAATATTACTATTAATACAATTATACCGTAATGTCACTTACTTTTACAATCAATGACGGGATGGTGCTATAAAAAATATCAACACATCCTTTTATAATCTTATTCATGGATAAAGCGCAAAGCCTTGACCGTCTCAATATTTTTCGCTTAAAAGTAGAAAGGCTCTTAATATGATTTCCACACTGGTGCGGGACTATCAATGAGACAAAGACTTTCTGTTCACACTGTGTCATAAAAATGCCTTGATTCCAAAGATATTAAGGGCACATTTTTGCTCATCATCATGACGTAATACAAGCCCATTTGGATTAATAAGCAAACATCCAATCCCTGACTTGCTATATTTATTATAACTTCTAGTTCTGTTTATTCTGTTGGAATTTCTTTTAACAAATTAAATTTGACAAATACAAATATTTCAAATACAAATATTTCCTTTCTTATGCACTGACGGGAACAGTGGAATTTTCAATATTAATATGATAGTTGCTCTCGTCTAACGCCATGTGTCATATTGATCAATATCATCATACCGGCAGAGCCGTATTGCCAGAAGGTGAAGAAGGTATTTTAAACGAAATGAAATCAGTGACAACAGCCATGTCCGTTTCTACACAAATTATTCTGTAAATTATTGAACAAAAATTCAGTAATTTTCTGCTGAATTTACTGCTACCGTACTTTGAAGCGTTGCGTTGTTTGTTGCTTTGTCGTCGCACCTTACATACGGCTTGCGTTGATGTGCCAAAAGAGGCTATAAAATTACCTAATAACATGCCAAATCTACTCTGGCATTGTGTAGTAGTTACGTAATGCGAACGAGAAATTTGGAATCTGCATGTCTAATCTCAGCTTTTTAGTTTATATAGCTTCTGAGTTCAAGGTTCATATTGTCGGCAGCAGCTCTCTTGACAAGTTTATTGACTTTCAATCTTTATTATTTTTGATCGATTGCCAGTTGTGATCAATGAAGATCGTTGATTTTGAAAGATAGCGGTCAGTTACAGCTCCATTAGAGCCTTTCATACATGTAAAAAACTACTCGATAGAATCGGATTTTGGAAAACTAAAGGCACCATTTGTTTTTTTTTAATGTCTTCAAAATACGCTAAAAGTTTTTGAAAATATTTTAAAAAATAATAAAAAAACAACAATGTTTTGTAGATAAACACAATAAAAGGAGCGATTTCTCATTATGGTTTCACTCAAATAATGAATGTTGTGTATAAAATTGATCTTTTATAAGTTTTACTTATTAAGCATTGCAAGCATTCTATATCATAAATGAAAAAATTAGTAATAATTCCTACATGTTAAAAAATATTTAAATAATTGACGACTGAAAATGAGTATAATACTTAGTAAAAAATATATAATATAATTAATAAAAAAAGGAGCAAAATATATCGAAAAGCAAAAATAATAAGCAATATACACTTTTTAAATAATATTTTGTTAGATATGTATATTACAACGAAATTGAACAAAACATTAATCAAATTCGCTTCTTAGATCAAAATTGATTTCAGGCCGAAAATCGTCTTCTAGCACAAGAACGCACACATACACACTTTCTTGCTTACTGCTTTCACTCCCACAAGCAAGTAAATTCTATTTTTCGATTTTTTGCTCTCAATTTTACGTGAGCGGGGAGACAACAATTATTGCCGCCACCAAAACAGTGGCTGCTCGATGTTTGCATATTGCATTTGCATAATTTGAGGCGGATATTTAAGGGTGACTTGCAATCCCTTGACGATGTAAATATGGTGAAATTTATCAACTTTAAAATTTGATATCTTGTTCTTGAAGAAGAGACATAACGGACGTTCACTCCCAGAAAGACCCCAAAAAAACCTCCTCGAATTACCGCTTCATTTCCAAAAACAATTTTAACGGTCAGCTTCGAATGGATAGAACAGCTTTATTCTCAATGCCATCTACCATGTATGGCTTTTATAAGCATTAGAGTTTCATCAACATTAAATGCTACAATCTTCTGCGCTAAATTGCAGCGAGCTTAGCTCTTCTACTGGAATAGCGGTCTAGTTACGTCGTGGCCGAGATTGCATATAATGTATGTTTTTTTTTTTTAATGAACACAGAAGAGTCTTCTCCGTTTGGTATCCGTTTAAAATCAAGTGAAGTGTATTTTCAAAAATTCTTAGCATGTAGTGTCCCTTACTCGTCACTTTGGCAGAATGCCGCTTCCATTTCCTGGTCAGTCGGTACTTCTCTAGAATCCTGAGTTAGCGGTTTGTTGTTTTGGCTTCGAATGTTCCAGGTTGAACATTCCCAGAACACAGTACACTCTACACAGTAGAGGTACGACCGATAACTTCTTCAAAATTATAAATCTAAAAATAGAATTAACTTGGTATGAGTTAAAACAGTTACCCTTCAGTACCAATCCCTAAGGAATCCGAGGGAATTTTCCATGCAAAGCGGAGAGAAATTTCCATACAACAGGCGTTTGTGGCGACGAATTCGAAGTTGCCGAGAAAAACATCGGGAATAGCCTAAGGAATATTTGAGGACCTCCTGGGAAATATAAAAGAAAGTTATACAAAAAAATTCTATATATAATTTTAATTTAGTTTTTATTTATTCTTTAGTTCGCCATTTCAAAAGGCCCACTGTACTACGTATTAGCATAGTTTGAGGTAGAAGAAAGATTAATATTGTCTTCTCTCTCCTACTTATAAGCTAGCATTAAGCAATAAGAATGTAGATACATTCACACGCTCCACAACCAGCAGAAGCAGTGGAGGAAATGGATGGAGCTGCGTCTTTGGTTAAACAGCGTGAGCCACAACGTAGAGACATGCAAGCGATCCCGTTTGACGCGCAGTCAATGGCGTCAGAAACCACGGATGATCTCGATTTTAATCAGTTATCACTGGTGGATGCAGAATAAGCCACCCTCCAAACGTTTTGAGAAGAGATAGATGCAAACATGGCCGTATGGCAGAGGATTTAAACGGAAATTCCCGAAGCGAACAAGAACAAGTCTTTGCGAGTTCGCCAAAGCCATGACGTCATCGAAAATAACATTGAAAACTCTTGCAATGTTAACATGTGCGCTAGCAGCAGCGCATTCCGGAGTCAAGCGATCAGCCGTGCGCGCAGTTGGGGTCAAAATGTCCAAAGGAGAGCTAAGAAGCGCATTCCAAAGACGTGAATAGCGTTCAGGTGAGAAATTGGCCGCCTATTTAGAGGACAAGGTGATGCTGGCCAACGACATCAACATCGATCTGGAGGAGCTCCTGGAAAACATTAAAGAAGGAATTTCAGCACCAGCGCTGCGTAACCAGGTTCGCATACAGTGCTTCTCCGAGCCAATGCAGATTTTGCGGGCTCGGAAGTCCGTCTGCCAAAGCACAACACAAGGAGGAGTTCACCAAGGCGCTTTACTGGAGTAGGTGCAACCAATAAGGATTTGCGTTGTGCCTATTGCAATTCCAAAGGGCATTTCGCCAAGGAGTGCCTCAGGCCAAAGAGGGATCCCGGATCCTGATATGCCTGTGGGACGTTTGGACACTTCGTCGGACAGTTCCCGGAGCGCAGGAGCGCGAATATCAACAATTATGTAAGACATGTTAAGTTGGCGAAATTTAGCAGTGAAGTTAATTTAGAAACCGCTAAAAACTTTTTCGGGCTGAGTAAAAGCCAACTGATATTTGGATAATTCTAATGTTATATTATAAAATAAAGAATAAAATGTAATATTTATTTAAACGTGGTCCCAAACGGTTCTATGAGTCATAATGTAGTCTTTGGACGAAATTTTATGGAAGCGTGCCAGTTGAAACTGGATCCAGATGCTTTGGGAAGTGTTACGGTTAGCCCATTAGATATTGAAAGAGATAGAAAAGCAAATAGTGAAAGAGTCAGTTCTTCTGATGGCGAAACGGTTAGTGAACCAGCTAGTGAAGCAGTAATTCCTCTAGGTAGCGTAACAACGGATTCCGCAATTAATTAGAAATTTTATGCTGCAGTTACGCCCAGTTATGAGCATTGATTGTATCGGGCCACGCATCCGGAAGCATTAGACAAGACCAATTGTAATAGTTAAGATCAACGTAAATTAATCATTGTTCTCCTCTTTCTCATTTAGTTGCGTATTTATCTAAGCAAACGTTTGTCTACATTCTTATCTTTACGCTCATCTTTGTACAGAGCACTCGTAAAGACAAACTTTCTCATTTTTAATATCAGTCGATTACATACGCCGACTGCAAACAAACGTTTTTAAGCGCTTATTTGGCCCTTTCGCTGTCAAATATAATTTGAATAATAAGGGGCTAATGAAAAAGGTCATTGGCTAAACAGATTTCGTAGACCAAATAACCAAGCTTTAAATTGTCTATTAAAAGAGATTATATAATGCAATTACTTAAATGTATAAAAGCCTGCCGAACCTTTAGCCAAATGTGTTTCGAAACGTCAAAACCATTTAGCTGCGTCCAAAGAAAATTTAAAAAAATTGCTGGATGAGGGACAATCTAGCGAATCAGAATATGCTTCACCAATCGTTTTTGGCAAAAAGAAAACAGGAGACTATGCATAGACTTTTGAAAAATAAACAACGTGTTAATTAAAAGGACTTATCCGATACTGCTTATCGATTATTTTAGACAAGCTAGTTAAGGACCCTGAGGAACATTTAAAAACCTTAAAGGAAGTGTTTCTCAGATTAGCTCAAAACAAATTAGAATCAAGGATGGATAAATGTGAGTTCCTCCAGACAAATATTAAGTATTTAGGATTCATTATAAAGAAAGGCATTAGGGCTGATGATAAAGGGTTAGATGCCATACAACATTTTTCAGTTCCAGACAAGATACAACCGTTTAAAGTTTTCTGGGTTTATGCTTAAACTTCCGTAGATTCATAAAAGATTTTTCTACATTGGCGATACCATTATGTAATCTATTGAGAAAAGACGAAAAATTAAAATTTGGAGAATAGGAAATTAACTGTTTTTCAACACTTAGGGAAAAGTTAGTGCATGCACCGGTTTTAGCCATTTATAATATCAAAGACGAAATAGGGCTGCACTGTGATGCAAGCGCTCTTGGTTTCGGTATGGTTTTATGCCAAAAAAAAAGAGGATGCAAGATTACACCCCATATTTTATTTTTCGAAGCGAACAACCGTCGCGGAAGCAAAATATCACAGTTTTGAAATGGAAACAATGGTAATAGAA